AACTATATATGTATATATATAGTTCTCTACGAACAAAACAAAAACAAAAACAAACATAAACATAAACATAAATGTTTTTTTTTTAATTGTAGTTGTAGTTGTAGTAATAGTAGTAAACATACAATTAATCTTGTTTTTCCCGAAAGAAGATTTAAAGAAAAAAAAAAAAAAAATTGTTTTTCTTTTGTCTTCTACAACGTTCACATTCGTTGTTGTTGTTCTTGTTGATGATGTTGTAGTTGTAGTTGTTGTTTGTTGTTTGTTGAATTAAATCCTTTTGTAGTACGACGACAAATAATATTATTTTTCATTTCATCATAACAATCATTAATTGTTCATTTTTTTTTTTTTTTCAAAATAATTCACATTTCACTTTTTTTTTTTGTAAAACTTTAAACTTGTTCAACCACTGCGAAATTTCCCTTTTATTATTATTATTATTATTTTATTTTCGGACAAGGAAAAACATTTTTAAAAAAAACATGAAAAAACGATGATTTTTCCGGGGTATTTTTCCCCTCCCTCCCTTTCCGGTGTTTAAACTGCGACAACGGGGAGGGCGGGCGGCGGGGACGACGGGGAGGGGTGGAAACAAAGAAGAAGAAGAATTTAAACAAACTAAAACAATTTCACTTATTTTAAAACGTATCCTCTTCGTGTTGCGGTGATTCCGTCAATGGTTCCGCAGGTGCGAATCTTCCCTGGTTCATGACCATCATCACGGGTTCCGTATTTCTTCTCTTCATTTTCCCTTTCATTTTTTTCAACATTGTCGCCTGATGTTTGGTCATTACAGGACGGGATTGTGTTTGTTTGTTTGTTTGTTTGTGTAAATAAAAATAAAATAAAAAAAAAAAATTTTTTTCTCTTTTTTTTTTGTTGTTGTTGTTGTAAAAAACAGGTTTTTCAGGAGGAGAAGAAGAAGAAGAAGAAGAAGAAGAAAAAAAAATAAAATAAAATAAAATGAAAAAAAAAAAAAAAATGTTTCACCGAACACAAAAAAACAAAACGAAACAAAATCGAAAACAAAATCGAAAAAAAAAATAAAAAAAGCTGTCGTCTGCTTGATTGATTAATATTTGTTGAAACAATGTTAGCACGTTTTTTTTACTTTTTAACCACACATTATTATTATTATTATTAATAATACAAACAAATCAAATCCATTATTATTATTATTATTAATTATGTTTTCCTTTTTTTTTTTTTTTGTATTTTTCATGCAGAAATATTTTCATGAGATAAAAATAAACTTTAAAACTCATTCATCAAAATGTGTGTGGGGGGGGGCGGGGTGGGGAGTCATAAATAAATAAAAAAAAACACAAATTGTTTGTAAAAGTATAGATAGAACGTACTAACGAGGTTTCATCAAACATTTCGGTTTTTCTTTCTAAATAAATTAATTTTTATAGTTAGTAAATGATTATGTATAATTATTTGTAAAAAAATAAATAAAAAAAGTAAAAAAAGAAATCAATAATGAATAGTGAGGATAAATGATTGAGAGAGAGAGAGAGAGAAAGAGTAAAAGAGAGAAATAGAGAGAGAGAGAGAGAGAGAGATAAAGAGAGAGTAGATGGATAGATAGAGACTAGATGAGATGGTCATGGTACTGAAATCAAAGTACTGTAGAGCAGGGTTGACAAGAAGGGCAGAATTCATTCATCCGTATTTCTACTGCCCTCTCCATTTGCCGGATTAATGGAGGGTTCTGTGTTACGTCGTTTTATTTTATTTTTCTTCAGCATGGTCGCCTACAGCAAACAAAAAAAAAGTGACCAGTTGGTTGGTATTTCAAATTTCTGGGTTATTATTTTTAAAATAACAATTAAACAAAAAAAAAAAAAAAATTACTCATAATAATACTCATCGGAGAAAAAAATTGTTTATTTTTTTTCTTGCTAATAATTACGATGAACATATAAAGTTTTAAGTGTGTGTGTGTGTGTGCGTGCGTATTTGTGTGTATGTGTGTGTTTGTTTTTTTTTTTTTTTTGTTTTATTCCCTAAAACATTTTTTTCATTGTAAAATCAAATGATTTGTAATTAATCAGGTAATAATTTAAAAAAAAAAAAAAATATATATAAATCATGTGCTTTGGTGCTTTGACTTCAAAATCGAGGTTAAAATCTATTCGCCCTCAAAATGGCACTCTTTTTTTTTCCTTTTTCGCAGCAGGTCTTTAAATTATAAATTTAAAACAGTTAAAACTAAAACAATCCCCGAGAATGAATGTTTTCCATGCAAGAAGTGACCAACACAATTATTCAAAAAGTGTAAAAAAGGAACATTTATATGGGAACATGTAAAAGGATGATAATGTTAGGAATAAATAAAAGGCAGGATAATAAGAAAAAAAAAAACTAAAAGTGAAATCAAAAGAAAAAGATAAAAAAATACAAAAATTATCGTGAAAATGGTAAAAAAAAAAAAATAATAATAATAATAATATGTTTTTTTTTTAGAAAGAGAGAGGTAGAGAGATAGAGAGAGAGAGAGAGAGAGAGAGCGAGAGAAAGAGTGAGTCTACTTTTCAAACAGTTCAAGCGATTTAAAATAAAATAAAATAAAATATATATACACACCTTAAGGGCTGACTTAAGAACAACCACGTTCCCAGGACTTTGCACCCAAGGTTCCCCGTCGACTTGAACCGGAATATCCGAATTTAAATGTATTTTAATATGGCCTCCCTAACAAAAAAAACAAAAAACAATTAAAATAACAGGAATTAATTATTTTTTATTAATGTTTATTTATTTATTTATTTATTTATTTTTTAACCTGCGCGATTCTCATTGCAGAACGAAGACCTGATTGAATTTGGCCCAAGTGCACGACTCCAGTTACTCCCACAACTTCCAGCATCCCATCCCAGTGGTTGGGTTTTGAAAATTGATCTTCTTTTTCGGGACCCCACGGATTGGCTCCCGAACCCCAACTGAGTATATTCAGGATAATGATGCCTTCCACTTGAGGCAAGTCCACAACCTTTCCATCCACCTCCAACCTCACTTCTTTATGCAAATCTTTGCAGAGTTTCCTACCGACCATTTTTCTTAAGCCCATTTTGACGTAGACACCCTTATTGTGCAACCTTTGATGCATGAAAAGTAATAATTTACATTACGCTTCGCAAAAAGCATTAGATTAGATTATTGGGTCAAAATGTTTTTTCTACCGTTAGAACTTACTTGAACTTTTAAAAAAATCAACAGGAAGTCAATAAATATGAGGACCGTATTCAGTCTTAAATGATAATATTAATAACGAACCTGCTGTTAAATTTATTCGGGTTTTCCTCTCTGGCGTTATGAAAATCCAAGCATAGATCCGCATCGATGCCGATACCAAAGTAATTATTCATAACAAATATTTGAGTGTTATCCTCGTTTGTGGTACCCGTCGTCGAGTTGGCCAATTGTTGAAGTTTTTCCTTGTCCTCCGCTTTATCTTCGGGATAAAATACAACAGTCCATCTGTCGAGACGTATTTCTTCTGCGTCGATCACGTCTCTGAGAAGATTGAGAGGATCTTCGCCTCCCGTGTATCCCGGTCCCCAGCGAAGAACTCTGGCCAAATCGTTTCCGGTACCGAGTGGCACAATCGCGCACGGCGGTGATGAACACTGACTATCCTGACCCACATTGTCCAAACATTGAAGCACCCAACCTATTGTTCCATCACCACCACACACCAAAATTTTGTAATCGGCAATATGGCGAAAAACATATAACCTAAAAAAAAAGGAAAACTTTAAAAAAATCCAATTGCGTCTAAGGAAATCCATACATGTCAAAACCGAAAGATATTTTACCCGGGCAGAGGTCCACCATTTTCCAAATCGAAAACTTGGTATGGATTTAATAATTTTCGAAAGCTAGAAATGAGTTCTAATCCTTGACAGCCTCCGGATTTAACATTGACAAATACCAGTAATGGTTGAACACCGGCAGGAACCATGCTAGGTTCAATATTTGGAAGCAACATAACCAAAAGATGTTTTTCCTCGTAACGAGAATCTCTTAGTATGTATAAAGACCGAACAGCTTTTTCAGAGTCCTCGTACGTTATGACCATAGAACCGTACTCGTAATAAATGGGGCCGATCGAAGAAAACTTATTTTCTAAAAAATTTATATTATTACTCGTAAAAAAACCCCTTTCCTTTTTTTTTTTTTTTTTTTGATTTAAAAAAAAAAAAAAAAAATTTTTAATCATACCTAATCCTAAAAAGTCTGTTAGTAAATTTTCATAGTTTCTTTGAGAGAGATTCGGAGGCAAGTTGCCAACAAATAGAGCTAAATTAGGACCATGAGGATCTTGTTTTAATTGAAGATAAAATCTCATAAGTTCCATTTGTCTAATAGAGTCTTGGCCAAGTCTCTTCATTATATCCCACGGTTTTTCATCTTTGTCCAATACTCTTTCGGTCACTACGAAGAAAAAAAAAAAAAATTTTTATTTTTAATTTTTTCTTTTTTTCTACAAGTAACTTTGGGTTCTAACTTCTTCTTCTTCTTTTCTTTTTACCTCCTCTGTCCAACAAAATTTCACTGAGTCTATAATCATCAACATCTCGGCTATTCAATCCGAATCGAGTAAGAGCTTCTACAATGAGATCCTTTATAGTGGTAGAAATGTTAACTTGTATCACTACAAAAGGTTCAGAAACTTGTAATTTTCCAGGATAAACTCTCACTTCTCCGAAATCGTTGTCTTGATCTCTAAAATATTTAAAATTTTTCGTCACACCCTTTTCTTTCAAATATATTTATAAAAAGAAACGACCGAAGATCGAATCTTATTGCTCCTCACTTGAATCTTAGAAAAATAGCCGGTCTTTTCCCTTCTTTTCGGTGCAAATTTAAAACTGGATTAGGATCGGTCAAACGAACTTCTTCGCTATTGGGATTGTACAGATCCGTCAAATAAAAATTTCCAGGATCCTTCGTAATATGAAAGGCTCTTAAAGAAGCTGTCAGTAATTGTTCACATGTTGCATGGCGAGACACACAAACCTTAAAAAAAAAAAAAAAACACAAAACCTTAAAAACTTTTAAAATCTTATTTAAATGATTAAAAAAAAAAAAAACGATTATTGCTCTACCACTCGAAATATTCTTCGTCGTAGGGAATTGTTTCCATCGTACACTTTTATCATTTCTTCATCCCTTTCCTCACGTTCTTTGGCTTTTGTGTTGCTCGTGTGAGGAATTTCTTCATCACGATACTTGTTAGCATCCCCTGTGCTGAACTCTTCGGAAATGCTTCGAGGAGATAGAGCGTCTTTTCTTCGAACTTGCACTCCAATTATGGCTTCCATTGGCACCTCAGTTCGTGGGATACTAACGGCGTGCGGGGGCAGGTAAATCGGTTCCAAATTTCCAAAAGTACATTCTCCGGTAACAGATTTATGGCAGACAGCATGCGACGTCATTCCACACCATTCGCATTTCATCCCTGCAAGACACTCGGCTGACCAACAGTTTTTTTTGCAAACGACACATTTAGAATTCGATGGAAGGTTTCCCTCTCGCCAGTGATGTTGATGATGGACTTGCGAAAGATCTTTCCCTGGAAGGTAAGTGGCATTTTCCTTGCAATCCGCGACAGCAAAATCGCAACATTCCGAATGTACGAAATAATCGCAAACTGCAAAATGAATAATAATAATAATAATAATGAAACATCTCAATGAAAGGTTTAAAACAAGAAAACCAGTCAACTTACTTTCGCAGTGAACAGATAAATTTTCCTCCGGTATTCTTTTACGACAGACATTGCAAAACTTTCTCTTATGATGAGTCGGTTCAGACCAGCAGTGAGCCACGGGATTCTATATTTTAAAAATATATTTAAATATTATTAATATATATTTTTTTCAGTTTAAAATAATAATAATAATAATAATTTTTAAAGTCTGGCTTTTGTCTAACTTAAAAAAAAAAAAAAAAATATGGCCTATTAAAAATGGACGAACTATATTACTCTAACAGTTTATTTACGGATTCTTAGAGAAAAGGTAAACAACACAAACCAGATCGAAAACTTCATCTTTCGAATTTGAATTAATTAATTAATTAATAATAATAATAATCCATTTTCATATGATTGATGATGATAATAATAATAATAATAATAATAATAATAATAATAATAATCGTTTGAATATATAAATATATCCAGGTGAAAAATTATCACATCGAAAAAGAAAACTCTCAAATTTAAACTTTTCTTTTATAATATTATTATTATTATTATTATCTATATGAGTTTTATCGTCGACTTGCTGGAATAAGGCCAATTTGACAAAAAAAATTATTATCATTATCATTATCATTATTATTATTATTATTATTATTCACGTTTTCGTGTCACATAAGCCAAATGATAAATATTTTGATTAATTGAATGAAAAATTTTTTTAATGAATCAAAAAAGACAGATTTATTTATTCAAAATTTTCATTTACGTCAGACGAACGAACAAACGTGTAATTAATAAGAAAAAAAAAAAAAAAAGCAACAGCAACGTGTAAATAGAAAATTTTTGTAATGATTACGTGGATTTTTTAATAATAATAATAATAATAATATTAAATTGTCACCTTTATCAATGTGGCTGCTATGCTGGAACAAGAACTCACGACTGTCCTGTAGCATCGATCGTGAACTACAAAATTACAAACTGGAAAAAAAAAATAGAAAATAATAATAATAATAATAAATTCATTATATTTAAAAAAAACTTTGCTTTATATGTATATTTATAAGTTTTTTTAAATAAAAAAAAATATTAGCAAAAGTTTGATTTTGAACTTCTTGGTTGTTGTTTGCTGACGACAAAAATAGTTTGTATCATTGGATAAAGTCCAAACTTCCCCATTGGCGTAAAAAAAAAAAACTTTTCTTTTTTTTTTTTTTATAATCTGTCATCATTTATTTTTTTCATTCAAAAAAAAAAAAAAAAGTAAAAAAAATAAAAAATATTATAAATTTTATAAATTTCAAATTTATCCGCCATTTTTTTAAAGGTATAATCGAATCCAATGCCAATGGTGTCAATCAATTTAAATTTTATCAACAAAAAAAAAATAAAATGGAACGATGCGGTTAAATCGTTTGAGGTTGAATCGGGGGAGGGGAGGGGGGGAAAGGAAGAAGGAAAAAAAAGTGGATAAAATATTAATAATAATAATAATAATAATGAATTTATTACGAAACATGTTAATTAATCGACGTACGTACGAAATTTTTTTTTTTTTTTTTTCATTTCGTGGGGTGCCATATTTGTTTTTTCTCTCTCTCTCTCTCTCTCTCTCTCTAAAAAAAGAAATAATAATAATAATCATGGAAGAAAATACATAACATTTAAAAATATATATATATAAAGTTTATCGAATTTGTGAATTATTTTATTTACAAGAGTGGAAAAAAACATTTGCGAAGAGAGAGAGAGAGAGAGAGAGCGAAACATCAGGGCGATTATGACGTCAGCAAAGAAAGAAGACGCAGCGCAAGCTCGAGTCAGATCAATGTGTGTGTGCATCTCCCCTGTTGCCCTTCTCGTATCGGCCCCCAGAACCCATAACACGCTCCTTGCAACACTGGCTAGCCTCTATTTTGTCTCCATATTATTATTATTATTATTATTATTATTATTTTACTTGAAAAAAAAAAATTTTTTTACATTTTATTTTTTTTATTTTTCTGAATTATATAGAAATTATGTCAGTTTGTCCTATTCATTGTAAAATCTTAATCTCTCTCTCTCTCTCACTCAAATGACCATTTCATTTACATTTCCACAAAAACCACCCCCCCCCCCCAAAAAAAAAATCATTTTATTTAAAATTTTAAACAAATTCCATTGATTTTCCTTTTTTTTTTTTAAAATGTCCCCCGAATTCCCCGCAAAAAAAACAACAACAACATCGATTTCCATATGTTTCGAAAGCTTACAAAAAAAAAAAAAAAACAAAAAGGGGGGAGGGAGAATCTTTCTTATATTCGCCGCCATGATTTTGGAAAATTCGTGTGTTGATAATGCAAGAAAAATCCACAAATGATAATAATACTTCCAATCGTTTTCATTCGTGTTACATCATTCGTTAAAAAAAATCAAAGAAATGATGATGATGATGATGATGATGATGATGATGATTGGGGATTTAAATAAAATGCTTAAAATTTTCTGCATCCCCCCCCCACCAATCTTCTCTCTTATATACGTTTACGCATCGAATCCTTGTATTTAAATAAAAAATTATTATTATTATTATTTTGTTAAATTAAAATTAAATTAATGGCGAAAATAACGAATCAACATTTGTACGCATACGCGTGTATACGCATAGAATGTATTTTACGAAATTACTTGTTGCAATAGAATTTCATTTTTTAATTTTTTTTTTTTTTTACTACAAAAAATAAAGTAATGACGAAATGGGGGGTGAGGAGGGGTAGGGGGAGGGGAGGAAAACAACTTTTATTATGAAAAATTTGAAAAATCCCTTTACAGGGGGAAATTAAACCTAATCAAAAAACAAAAAAATTGAAAAATTTTAATAATGGTCATCACTTTTTTATAACGTGAATTTTATTATCATTATCATCATCATTATTATTATTATTATTACTATTTTTTTCATTTATAAATTTGTTGATAAAAATGATGAATTCGTTCGATTTTTCCTTTTTCTTTTTAAAAAAAAAAAAAGGAAAACCGTCGTATAGTATTCTTCCCCCCACATTTCCGAGATTTTATTCACTGATTTTCATTTCACACCACGCCTCTATTTCCGTAATTTACTGTGATTTAATAATAATGATGATGATGATGATGATGATGATGGTGATGATGATAACAACAACACAGCTATCATTATTATCATTTAGAAAATTTTTGAAAGCAATGCCATATATGACATCCATGGATTTTCATTTATCGAATTTTCCCACCAATAATAATAATAATAATAATAATACTAAATTCGGTTTTACATTGAATTTTTTGACCGTGTCCCCCACCCCCCCTTCCCCAATACACATGAAAATAAAACAAAACTGAAATAATAATAATAATAATAGTAAAGGGTATAAAGATTTAAATTACAATTATGATGATACATTTTATTAATCGTGAACAATTATTTAATAATTCATTCCAAAAAAAAAAAAAGGGGGGGGAGACATTTTTTTTTTTTTTTCGCCATTCAACGCCTTTGTAATTGTAATAAAATAATATTTCATTACAATTACAAACCTTTTTTTCTCTTTTTCTTCATAAAAAGCAATAACATCCCTCAAAAAGAAAAAAAGAGAGAAAAAACGGCAATAATAAAATGATAAAATCACGTTAAATTCCATTGAAAATATTGCAAATTTCCCCAGTTCAAGATGGCGGATGTTGAAAAGCGAAATAGAGAAAGAGACAGGGTGAGAGACAGAGAGACAGAGACGGAGGAAGAGAGAGAGAGAGAATTTTCAAACTCGAGAAGAGATGAAATTTTCTATTCTATTTTTTTTTTTTTTTTTATAAAAAATGTCGGTTTTAAATACGTACGTAAATAATTATTATTAGTACGTATCATGTATTCATCATTACGAAAAGAAAAAAGGAAAAAAAGGAAAAAAAGGAAAAAAAGGAAAAAAAAGGAAAAAAACAATAAGTAATTTCATTAATGGTTTCAAACGGTCGATCGATATTTTTGGAGGGAAAGTTATTACGAATAAAAAAACCATCTTTTATTTGTTTAAAAAAACTTATTAAATTTGATTTCTTCTGATTATTATGAGGTTTTCCTATTTAATTTTAAAAGAAATTCTTTTGGGAAAGAATTGCAAAAGAAAAAAAAAGAAATTTCATAACGACGACGATGGATGGGATGAGAAAAACGAAAAAAGGATTTTGAAACATGGCGGCCGACATGAAAAAACAGGTGAAGGAGGAATCGGAGCGAAAAATTTTTTTTTTTTTTTTTTTTACGATTTTGCAGGGAATTTTATGTCGAATTCATTATTATTATTATCATTATCGTAGATATTGGTTTTTTTTCCTCTATGTGTTCTCGGAGGGGGGGAGGGGGGGTAGGGGGAAGAGACCTTAAATCGAATTATTGAAAATTTTTATTTAGCTCACCTTCGCAGATGTAGCCTTGCTGTATGAGGCCCCAAAGCATGTCTGTGCAATGATGACAGTAGGTAGGTTTGTGGAAGGTCTTCTTGGCGAATGTGTGGCCGTGGGCCGGGGTTTCGGCCGATGCCATCGCCCCGCCGACGCGCCGATCACGCCAGTATCTCACCGTGAAACCACACACGAAATCATTTTACATATTTACGTGATCTCGAAATCGAACGCGAACATTATTTTGGTACAGGGTATCCCTTAAACTCAAATTAATTTGTCTAAGCAGCATTTTCTGCAGGGCTTTTCAAAAGCGCCGCAGATAACCATAGTCGGCCGTAACTTGTGCCGTACTGCGCGACTAACTGCTCCGTCCGAAGCGCATTCAGAAATGGACCGACGCATGCGCATTTAACAAAACTTTTTCGTTATTCCTGTGTTTCGCACATTCTATCATTTCTATTGGTCGAAAGTTAAAATTTTACTTTGAGCTTTTTATCTCTTTCCCTCTTTTCCTTTCTCTCTTACTCTCTCTCTCTCTCTCTCTCTCTCTCTCTCTCTCTTGACTGACTGTCATTTTTACTCAATTTTATCTCTGCTTTTTCTCATCCTTTTTCCATTTTTTTTTTTTTCCAGATTGTCAATTGTACATTACAAATTCGCAATTTTGTCTTATTATTATTATTCATCATGTCTCTAAATACTGCAACTTCCAAATATATTCATTTTTATAAGATTTTTAAAAAGAAAAAAATTATCATTAGAATCGAACGAGCAGTAACGAAACTAGTAATAATTCAAATAAAACGAAGAAAAAAAAATATGGCCTGTCTATCTAATGGCACTCATATTATAATTATTAAAATATTATTTTAACGTTTATGTACGTTATCAATTCAATTCAATCCTTCCTTTTTTTCATGTAGAAAAAATTTTATGCGCCAAAATATTGTCCCTAAAAAAAAAAGAAAAAAATTTTTTTATTCCCAAAGGTTGGTAAAAAAAAAAAAAAGTTAAAAGCGTTCGCGTCAAAATGGCTGACGACATTATTATTATTGATTTCAAGTTTTTGATTATTAATAGTTTATAGTTGATTATTTATTTTACGTTTATATTATCGAACAAAAAAATTTTTTTTTTTCCAATATATTAGGTTTAAGTAATGTAAATAACTGACAAATAATATTTTTTTTAGGGAAAAAATTTTTATAAGTTTTTTATATAATTATTATTTTTTGCTTGAATTTTCATATATTTTAATTTAGTTGATAGTTTAATTTTTTTTATGAAAAAATTTTAATGTAGAAATGATTGAGCATGTTTATTTAATTTGTTTAATAAATTAGAGACGAATAATTTTTTAATATAAAATGTTAAGTTTTTAGACAAACAATTGTCTTTTTATTAAAGACATTAAAGAAAATGTCATGATTGATCTTAAAATAACCCCAAAAAAAATTAAAGTTTTGAATTTTAATAAGTCTTTAATAAAACTTTAATTTTTTTTGGGGTTATTTTAAGATCATTTTATTATGAGAGGTAAATAAATAAATAAAAAAAACTTGATTTAATTTAAATGAAAATTTTATTTTATTTTAAGTAAAACTTACAATTATTTTTTTCTTAACAATAATTTAACGAACTATTTACATTTTTACATTTATTACATATTTACAATTAAAAATGCTATATTTAACAGTCATTATTGATTCTACAGTCTTAAGTTTACAATAAATACTATTTTAATCAGTCTTCATTTTATAACTATGAGATATTTTCTTAATCTACTTCAGATATTATTGGCCCTTGATGTTGGCTTTCTCTTCTGGCCTCTTGTCCACAAGATTCCTGTTGTTGTTGTTGTTGAGCACCTTGATGCAACTTCTTCATGAAGGGCATGCAAAAGTTTTGAATTTCTTGCATTTTGTAGTCGTATTCACTTTTGTCAGCCATAGTGTTGCCATCTAACCACTGAAGCATTTCCTGACACTTGCTCTTAATCTCTCTTCTGTCAGAATCTGATAGTTTGGCTCCAGCTTCATCAACTGCTTGCTGGACATTAAAAATGTAACCCTCTAACTGGTTTCTGGCAGCTACTCTCTCCCTTTGACGTTCATCTTCTTCTTTATATTTTTCTGCTTCTGAAAGCATCCTGTCGATTTCTGCTTGAGATAACCTTCCCTTATCGTTTTTGATGGTTATGTTTTTGGAATTTCCTGTGCTAGAATCTTTGGCTGATACATTGAGAATTCCATTGGCATCCAAGTCGAATGTAACTTCAATTTTGGGTACTCCTCTTGGAGCTGGTGGTATTCCAGAAAGATCAAATTGTCCCAAAAGATTATTATCCTTGGTCATTGTACGCTCTCCTTCAAATACTTGAATCGTTACTCCTGACTGGTTGTCAGAATAGGTACTAAATGTTTGTGTCTGTTTGCAAGGGATTCTTGCATTTCTTTCAACAATTTTAGCCATGACTCCTCCGGCTGTTTCTATTCCCAGTGAGAGAGGAGCAACATCAACAAGAAGAACATCTTGAATTGATGAAGATTGGTCTCCACTGAGAATGGCTGCTTGAACTGCTGCTCCATAGGCCACGGCTTCATCAGGATTGATGGACAAATTTAAACTCTTGCCGTTGAAAAAGTTTTGAAGCATATTTTGAATCTTTGGAATTCTAGTAGATCCTCCAACCAAAACAATGTCGTGAATAGCTGCTTTATCCATTTTGGCGTCTTGTAGAGCCTTTTCAACTGGTTGCAAAGTAGATCGGAACAAGTCTGAGCAGAGTTCCTCGAATCTGGCTCTGGACAATTTGGTGTAAAAATCAATACCCTCGAAAAGAGCATCGATTTCAATACTGGCTTCGGTACTCGAAGACAAAGTTCTCTTTGCTCTTTCCGCTGCTGTTCTTAACCTTCTCAATGCCCTCGAATTTTTCGTTAGATCTTTCCTGTATTTTCTTTTGAACTCTTCGGCTAGATGCGAAACAACTCTGTTATCGAAATCTTCACCACCGAGATGTGTGTCTCCTGCGGTAGCTCTTACTTCGAACAGAGATCCTTCGTCGATCGTCAAAATTGATACATCAAATGTACCTCCTCCCAAGTCGAATATGAGTACGTTTCTTTCTCCCTTAAGATTCTTGTCAAGACCGTATGCCAAAGCCGCTGCAGTAGGTTCGTTAATAATTCTGAGGACGTTAAAGCCAGCAATAATTCCAGCGTCTTTCGTAGCTTGTCTTTGAGAGTCGTTGAAATAGGCTGGTACGGTTATTACGGCGTCTTTAACAGTCCCACCCAAGTAGCTTTCTGCAGTTTCCTTCATTTTCAACAATACCATGGAACTGATTTCTTCCGGTGTGAACCTCTTTCTTTCTCCCTTGAATTCAACTTCCAACTTTGGCTTTCCACAATTACTGACGACTTTGAAAGGCCAATGTTTCATGTCGGCCTGTATTTTCGGATCGTCAAATTTTCTACCAATCAAACGCTTGGCGTCAAATATGGTGTTGTTCGGATTCATAGCCACTTGATTTTTAGCAGCATCTCCAATCAGACGTTCCGTGTCGTTAAAGGCTACGTAACTCGGCGTTGTTCTGTTTCCTTGATCGTTAGCAATAATTTCCACTTTTCCTTGTTGCCATACTCCGACGCATGAATATGTTGTTCCCAAGTCGATTCCAATTGCAGGCATCTTCATTTTGTTCACTTTTTTTATTTTAAAAAATTAAACTTCACAATAAAAATACTTTCGTTTAGATAACTTTGAATAGTGCGAAGAATATCGCGTGTTTTACAATTTACTTGTAAACTCTTTGAATGCTTTGAATAAACTGATGGTCGAGAGCGCGGCGCGGTCCTTATATACCCACCAAGAAATCGTAGAATGTTCGAGAACGTTCGAGAACATTCGAGAACATTCGTTGTGAAATTAAGCCAATAGCGAAAAATCTAGAAAAATTTAGAATGTTCTTTTACTATATGTACATTCACATTTTTGTTGTGAATATATGTTCTAGAATATTCTAGAAAATTCGTTGTGAATTTAGCCTGGGATAATATAAGATGTAAATTGAAAAAAGTGAATAGAACGTTATATGGAACTTTCTCGAAAATTCGAGAATAAGTTGTTTAGACGATGTGAATTTAATTAAAAAATTTTGTTGTGAATTATCACATATTCAGGACTTTGTATTTCACATAATGCGCTTTCTGACATGTAATTACTAAATGATAATGATTTTATTTAAGCAGGGAAAATATTAATTCCGATTTTGTGTCCAATCAATTAAAGTAAAATACAATTTTATTATTTTATTTAATGCTGTTTTTAGAGATATTATTGAAATTTAATAAAATTAATCAATTTTTTTTAGCTTAGATAAGGATTTTAAAACTAAAAATTAAATATTTGATGAAAATTAACCAAGAAAAAAAGTGTCATTACTGCAATACAGTTTAACAGAAATTTTTTCTCTCTTTAAAACATCTTTGATATTAAATGTTAATTATTAATTTTTTTTAATTAAAAGTTTTAAAATAAATAATTTTATTAAAAAAGAGTCTTTTAGAAAATTTATTTACTGAAATAAAGTAATTACTAAGTGAGATAAACCTCATTGTTTTTGTTGTTGTTATAAAAAATAATTTATTCAAAATATTAATTTTTCCCCTTTAATAATTTTTCAATATTATTTTTAAAAAAATAAAGGAAAAGTTTTTTTGTTAGTCTTATGAAAATTATATTTGATTTTAAATGAATGATAAATTTCTATAAACATATCTTAGAATTATTATTATAATTATTAATAAGATTTTAGATCCCATAATGTAACTGCCATAAAAATTTAATGTTTGAAATTTTTATTAGATAAAATTTATAATTTTAATTAGAAAAATCTGTTGAAAATGGCTAAAAGTAAAAAAAATAATATTGTTTTGCTCGGATTCGAAGATGAATATGTAACAGAAAAACACAAATCTGTTCTTGGTTATTGGACGAATAAAGTTGGTGGTAGTCCAGTAAGTAATTACTATCAGTAAATAAGGTATTATTTTAACTTTTGTTTTTAAAAAGAAAATAATAATCATTTTCAGGATTGGCCCATTGAAGGTATTTCACCTCCAAATTGTTTGTTATGTGGTCTCAAACAGCTTTTAATCGTCCAGATATATGCACCCCTTGAAAATTCATCTTTTCATAGAACATTGTACTTGTTTGGGTGTATTAATCCAAATTGTTGGAATCAAAAAGATAGTTGGACTTGCTTAAGAAGTCAATTATTAGACCCTGAAGTAACACATTCAAGTTTTGAAAAATTAGATATGGAATGGTGTTCTGGAGCAAATGATTGGGATGATGACAATGGAAATTTTGAAAATGGAAACTCTTTAAGAGCTTCAAGTCAAAACCCATCTGACAATGATAGTGAAGAGGATTCTTGTTCATTAACAGCTATAATTGAAAATTTAAATGTAAAAGAATGTAATGCCAACTGGGATGGTTTTGAAAAAAGTTCCGGTGCTGTCGGTAAGCAAATGTCACCAGTTGCTTCGGCAGAAATCGAACAAGAAGAAAGTGAAGTGGTTACTATTGATACTCCAACTATGCCAAAGAAAGACTTGCTCTCTCTTCTTCAAGAGAGTGCTCCTGTTCCATATTACATGAGAGCTGGAGAAGAAAATCAAAATCAATGTGTTACATTTGTTCCATTTTTTATAAGTGTAGAAGAAGAAAATATATCTAGTAATCATTCCGATCATGTCGGAGAATTAATACAAGAATATCAAAAAAAACATGGCGAAATTCATCAGCATGGAAGTAATCAAATTAGAGAGGGTAATGAATTATGTTCCGAAGAATATGAAAAAGCAGTACCAGCACATGGAGATAAAATGTTTTATCATTTTTTAAGCAGAATTCAAAGTAATCCTGGTCAAATCCTTAGGTAAATTACAAAAATTTTTTACATGACAACATTTTAATAAAATATTTGCATTAATAATTAATATGGTTATTTTTCATTTTTCAATTTAGGTACAGCAGAGATAATAAAAGACCTCTCTTAATCTATCCATTGCAAGAATTTTCTAAAAAATGTGAATATTGTGATTCTGATCTCATTTTTGAAATGCAACTCCTTCCTACATTAATTCCAAAATTAAAATTTCAAGAGGATGACGATAAAATAAGATTAGAATTTGGAACTGTTTTAGTTTTTACATGTTCGAAAAGTTGTTGGTCACAGGGTGATAAGTTTAAAAATGAAAAGGTTATCGTTCAAATGGAAAGTATATAAAAATTTATATAATTTTTGACTTAAATATTAGAAAAGTAGTTAATGAAAATCTAATTTTTCAGTACTAAATCATTATTTACAAGAAATTCAAATTTAGTAAAAGTAAAAGTATATATAATAGTATGAATTAAAAGATTTTATCGTTATTTAACTTATTCTAAAATTAAAGACTCTTTTTTTTCCTTTCTTAAATTATAATTAGACTAAAACTAACTGTAACTTTGTCCAATCATAAATCTTACTATTTAAAACTACTTAACAAAAATAGTTTAGTTTAAATGATTAGTTTTTAGCATTTTAAAATACTATTCCAGTATTCTTTTACGATGGCATAAATTTATTATTATTTGTACTCTTGTCATGTCTTGTCGAATTCAGTTTTTATATTCTTAGTAATTTTTGATTTTACTCGAAGAATAAAATTTTAATATGGATACTTAATTATATTAATTTTAAAAAATGTGATAAATTATATTCTATGTAACTTGATCATAGATTTTTTTTAAATTCTTATAATTGTAGAATAGTTAAAAAATATGCCTTCCAATAAATTTTTACAACCGAATATATTTATAAAAATAATTATTTGTATTTTTTTTTGTTTTAATTAAGCTCTCTCTATAAATAATCAACGAACGTTAAAGTTTGTGTCAAATAATTTTTGTTTTTAATTTTCTTATATACAAATAAATTTAAATTTTACCATTTGTTATATTATCAATTTATACACAATACTATTAGGATTGTATTTTTTTTCAATACTTAATAATTAGCATATATTTTTAAAAAAATTTTGTCTTTAAATAAAATTCATTAAGGTATCTAAATAACTTTAATTAAAGTTTTCTTTTTAGTAATAATTATTATTATCATTAAATAATGGATGATGTACAAACATGAGAAATTGTATTAGTATTATTATTATTTGTTTTTTGTAAAAATTAATTAATCATTAATTTCTAGTCTGTAATAAGTACTCATAATAAATTTAAATTTAAAAAAAATTATTTTAAATTGTTTAAACTTTGTTATTACCGTTATTATTAATTATTTATTATCTTATAATAAATAAATTGAATAAATTTCTTATGAAAAAGAAAATTTATTTATTTAATTGCCTTAAACTTTATCTTACGGTATTTTTTTTTCAAATTATATTTTTAACGGGGGCAAATCGTACATTATTTAAAATTTGTATTAAAAAATCGAATGATAATAATATTAATATTTAATTACTTACCATTAAGTAAAAAAGCGATGGACAATTTTGATTTTCTTGAAGGTTTAAAAAAGGCGTAAAAATTCAAAAAGTCAAACACAATACTATCGTGATAAAATTTAAATTTATTCCTTTTTATACGCGTAACGGTAACAAATTTTTATTCGGTTATTTTTAAGCTCGATAAGGTTTTATAATTTGATGTTAAAAAAGTGTTTAAAAGTTTTTAAAATTCCGATAAAAATAATAAAAAAAAAAAACGTAAGTTGTAGCAATATAAAGTTTTAACGCGCTGCCAGGCTTTAACTTGAAAATTTTTTTTTTGTTAACGGCTCAAAGGAAACTTTTTTTTTTTTACGGTTTGCCGCCGCCTAGTTTTAACCAATCAAAAAATTAGAAAAAATTTTTATAAAGGAAATGGAACGAAAACGTGGTACGCATGATCCGAATGATCTGGTCGGAGAATTCATTTTAATCACATGTGAGTAAATTATAACATTTTCATCGATTTTAACATATTTTTTTCTCTGTTTAATTGATAAAATTTTAATTAAGTTCTCCTCCCGTTAGTGCGTGTATATCGTTATTTTAAAGTAATTAATTAACCGTAGAAAGAGTATTAGTTTTGATTTTAGCTAAAAAGTACCTGACATTGCATGATGAGGTGTTGGTTTCCCGCCATGTTAGCTGTATTTATTTCAATAATTTACGACGGTCAAATCTGTTGTTTCCATAGTTATAGCGTGAAAAGTTTACAACTGACGCTTTCGTAATTAGTTACACTATTAATTTCACGTTATGATATTTTAACAAATTTTTTTCATTAAGTATGTCGTAGACTTTATTGAGATTGTTGTGTTGCTATTGAGCATATGGTGAGAGGGGAAATTTTTCTAAGAATTTTTTTTTTTTTTAAATAATTTATAAATTTTCACATGCTTACAATTAATTTTTTTTTTCATAACGATATAAAATTTTCTGATTATTAATTTGAAATAACTCTTTTTTTTAATTATCGTAAAATAATAATTGTTATTTTATAAAAAGGTGCATTTTTAATTGTATAAAAAAAAAAAAAATGTGCTTTTAAAGTTTTTGCTTTTTATCACCGCACAGACACAAAAAAAATAGTTAGATTTTGATCAAACTAGTGGTTTTTTAATATCTAGCCCCCCCTCAGTACATAATTTTTGATTGATTTTAAATATTGCTTAACATTGTGTAAAAAAAATTTTTTAGATTATAAAAAAAAACACACACAGTTAGTTAAACTTTAAAATGGCTGAAATTGAAGATACTCATTTTGAAACTGGTGACTCTGGTGCATCTAATACCTATCCACAACAATGCTCTGCTTTGAGAAAAAATGGATTTGTTATGCTCAAGGTAATTCAAATTTTCATCTTTGACCTTTTTTTTTGTTTTTTTTTTTTTCTTTATGAATAAATTTATTTACTTACCGTTATTTATTATTTAGTCTCGTCCATGCAAAATTGTGGAAATGTCTACTTCTAAGACTGGAAAACATGGACATGCAAAAGTCCATCTTGTTGGATTAGATATTTTCAGTGGAAAAAAATATGAAGATATATGTCCTTCCACGCACAACATGGATGTGCCTTTTGTCAAGCGTGAAGATTATCAAGTAAGTAGACACCTTCCCTTACTGAAACAGAAAAAAAAAAAAAACATCAGTTATTTCATTCATTACCTGGACACAGGGAGTAGTTAATTCAATGTCATACATTTCTATTTGTTTAAATTATTTTTATTTACCATTATTATTGCATTGATTTCAGTTGACGGACATATCTGATGACGGATATCTCTGCTTAATGGCCGACAATGGAGATTTACGTGAAGATTTGAAAGTACCAGATGGTGAATTGGGTGCTCAACTCAAGGCAGATTTTGAAGCCGGAAAAGAGTTATTGGTACATTTGAATTTTTTTTTTTTTTTTTTTGATAAACACCTACACTACCATTCTTAATTTATAATTTTTGTACTAATTTCCTTTTCTTTTCTTTTTTTGTGTTTTTACAGTGTACTGTTTTGAAATCATGCGGTGAAGAATGTGTTATTGCTACCAAAACTAATACTGCTCTTGACAAATAATTGGGGTTTTTTTTTTTTGACCAGATCGAAAAGAAAGCTGAGGAAACCCCCGCGTTTGAAGGAAAAAAAAAAAAAAAAAAAAACATATATATATACAAAAACAACGGATACACAAACAACAGATCATATTTAGTGTCGATGAAGGGCGCTCCCGGCTGCTAAGAGTATAGCCAAATATTATTTAATTAAAATAAATTTTTTTTATCGAGAAAAAGAAAAAAAAAAAACTACTTTATTTCTATCAATCTTGTTTTTCTCTTTATTTATTTTTCTTTTCTTTTTTTTTTCTTTTTTTTTTTTTTTTTACACATTTCAAGTTTTTTTTCAAAGTCTATCTAACAAGTCAACTTTGACTAATTTTTTTTTTTTTTTTTTTTTTTTTTGTCTGCAATTAATAAAAAAAAAAAACGTTAATTTTTTTTAAAAAAAATGTTGTGTACATGCTATTGGAGGGAAAATATAAAAAAAATATTTAACAGTAAATAAATATAAAAAATTTAATTTCTTGATTAAGAGATCATAAGTATCGAAGTATCGTGTTTTTGTCATTTTTTAAAATTTTCTTGTTAAAATTTTTAAGAACAAATTTTTGTTTTTTTTTTTTTTTTTTTTTTTGTACTGCAATTTTTAAATTATGTGATAACACAAGTTTAATTTTTTTCATATGCATTTGTTCAGGGAAATAATAATAATAATAATACTAACTACTATAACATTATTGGGCATATTATAAATAAAATTTATTTGGTGGTATAAATTTTGAACAAGTTTATTTTCATAAATTTCATTGTTTTGTTATTGAATATTTTTTTTTTATTCCTTGGTTTTAAATAAAATATGGGTAGGGATTTATATCTTCTTTAAATATTTTATTCCATAAATGCAATTCCTCCCCTTATTATTTGCCTTGTGTAAAAGCCCCCCTTGAATTTTTCTTTTTAAGTAAAATAAACCTGCAGAAAGGATGAAAATTCTTATTACTGTTTTAAAAACATTCGAAAATAAATTATTTAATTATTAATTTTACTCTATTATCTTCTTTTTTTTAATATTATCAGAAATAATTCAGTTTTTTGAATCTCATCCTTGACTCTGTTTTCTCACTAGTCAAATAAAAGTCTTAAATTGTTTCATTTTAATATCGGTTTAACAATTATGAATAAATTATTCATTTTTGAAGTTTATAATTAATTTTTTAATTTATGAAACGTAAATAATTATTTTATTCACGATACAATATTATTCAATAGTTTTTTTTTTTTTCACAAAAAATTTATGGTAAATGTCTTCCGGCAATTTTAGAGTAAATAAACTATGAGGTTTAGTAAATTGAGGTTATGATAACCTATGAAAAAAAAATTTATTATTTAGATTTTATTTTTCTAGCTTACATTGTTTCGTAAAAAAATTACATCAAAATGGTAAGAAAAAGTATTTTTATTTTAATTTTTTTTATTAAATTTATACTCATTTTATAATTAATTTAATTATATATAGTTATTTTCAGGCTTATTTTGTTATGACACACCCTTTATATGCGGATAATGAGTTACCTATGACTAAACACTAAAAATTAATTTTCTAAAGAAAACTATTTTGATCCCTACCCTAATACACAATTTTTTTTTGTTTTTAAATTTCCTTTTTTCGTTTTATTTTAAAAATAATTTTTTAAATTACCACTCGTATAAAATTCAGTAGGAATATAATAGGAATCAACACTATGTACTTCTGTCATTAAAATTTTTTTTTTTTTTTTCATTTTAATTTCAGACAGAACAACAAATGGATTGCGCTTTAGATATAATGAGGCGTTTGCCTCCACAACAAATAGAAAAAAATTTAAGCGATTTGATTGATTTGGTTCCGAGTCTTTGCGAAGATTTATTATCCTCTGTTGATCAGCCATTGAAAATAGCAAGAGACAAAGAAGTTGGTAAAGATTATTTGTTGTGTGATTACAATAGAGATGGAGATTCATACAGATCTCCATGGAGTAATACTTATGATCCTCCTCTTGAGGATGGTTCAATGCCGACAGAAAGGTTAAGAAAATTAGAAATAGATGCCAATCTTGCATTTCATCAGTATAAAGAAATGTATTTCGAAGGTGGTGTTTCATCAGTATATTTATGGGATTTGGATCATGGATTTGCAGGTTTGTTTTCTCTCTCTCTCTCTCTTATATGCATCTCATGGATTTATTATTTAAAAAATGTGTTGGATCAATGATGAGTATCATAAACTTTATGTTTAAAATGCAATAAATGTTTATGACGATAATAAATAATGATTGAATCGGTTAATTTAAATTTAGATAAAACTATGTTACATGTAAAGAGAAAAAAATTTGTTTGTTATTGTGACTATTATTATTATTATTAACATTTCACATATTTGCTTTGTCATCATGTTCATGTTACAAGCACTGTTTCATATAATTAATTATAATTTATGAACAGGTTATTAACCTGTACACTCCTACAGTTAGTTTTTATTTTTTTTTTTATTTTTATGTTTACAATTTGTATTTAAAAAAGAAATAAATTATTCAAATTGACAAATATTTTCTAGGGGTGATATTAATTAAAAAAGCTGGAGATGGTTCAAATAAAATAAAGGGATGTTGGGATTCAATACATGTAGTCGAAGTACAAGAAAAATCGACAGGAAGAAATGCACACTATAAGTTAACGTCAACGGCAATGTTATGGCTTCAAACTAATAAACCAGGTTCAGGTACAATGAATTTGGGAGGAAGTCTCACAAGACAAGTAAATATTTAAAAAAAATTTTAACTCATTGAAAAATGAATTTGGTGGAATGAATTAAAAACTATTCGAATGATTAAAAAAATTTCAGACCGAATTAGATTCAAGTGTTACTGAATCTTCTCCTCACATAGCCAATATCGGAAGAATGGTTGAAGATATGGAAAATAAAATAAGACATACATTAAATGAAATTTACTTTGGAAAAACTAAAGACATTGTTAACGGTTTAAGGAGCGTTCAATTATTAGCAGATCAACGACAGCAAGTTGCTTTAAGACAAGATTTAGCAGCAGCATTACAAAAACGACAGGGTCAAGGCAAACAAGAGTGAATGCAGTAAAAAAAAAAAAAAAGAAAAGAAAAAAAATTACAAAATAATTTAGTTTTTTTTTTTTTTTTCTAAGTTATTTATTATTTTATTATTATTATTCTCTTCTTCTCATTTTAATGTGGGGTTGAATTATTTTTTTTTAACAATTTGAAAAAAAAAGAAAAACAATTAAAAATTTTTGTTTTTATTAATATTCTGATATATATTTTACAAAAAACTTTATGTGAGGAGTTTGAATTGATTTAAAAAAAAAAAAAAAAAAAGAATGAAAACAATTTATCTAACAATTTTCTTTCTTTTAATTTTGTTTTTACTTTAATAATTATTATAATTTGTTTTTTTTTTTTTTTATAAACGAAAGAAAGAAGGTATTATCTGTGCTATTTTTTTATTTTTTACGATGAAAAATCATCTCATCAGATTTATTATTATTATTATTATTATTATTATTATTATTATTTGCTATGCTTATTTAAATATAAATATAAATTGTTGATCAATATAATAAATTTTTTTTTAAAGTAAAAAATTTATATATTTTTTTTTATCTCTCGGTCAATATTGATCCTTTTTCTTGTTTACCTTTTCCTTCCGTCACCGTTAAACCTTTGAAAACCTTTCAGGTACCGGTATGAACCTCAAATTAATTATTTTAAACCTTCATCGACTTTGGGCGGTGATAAAGATTGATATAATTTCGTGACTGCCGTTTGTACCATTTGTTGAAAAACAGGATCTTCTTCGCAAACAACAGTCTTCGCAATAACAAAAGGGTAACATTAGTGTTGAGGAGGAGGAGGAGGGGGGGGGCTAAATTCAAATAATAATAATAAAACTTACCAATTTTGAAAAGTCGACGTTTGCTTTTTTCCCATCGACCGTCACGTATAATTTTTCGCCTTTGAATATTTTCGGTACGGAATCTTCACCGAACATTTCCTGTAGCATTTCTATCAGGCATTCTTTAAAATGCATAAGATCCATTTTTGCCGAGGGTATGGGAACGTTCTTTTTGGAATCGTCCTGCAGGCTGTCAGCTTGAAGAATGGTGGAAACGATCGCATTGGCGTACATGTCGTTAACGGGACTCGCAACCCACTGGAAAATTAATTTTTTTTTTTTTAACCTTTTTTTATATTACAAAAAAAATAAAATTTCACTCGCGAATCCATTAACGAAATACTTTACCTCTAAAGTAATTATTTTATTATCTATGTTTACGTTTATCGTTTTGAAAATTTTTAATTTTTTTTCATCCACGACTTCGACTGGGCCGCAGGATTGATTTAATAAATATTTTAAAATGCTAACTTGTCCCGAGTAATAAACGGATACCCTTTCGGTAACTTTAGTAATCGTCATGTCGGTGTATTCTAGAAATAAAAAGGAAAAAAAATATTTACGTTTACAAAAATTAACTGCAAAAAGAAAGAAAAAAACCGCTGATTTTTACTTGGCACATCGAATGGAGCTAACAGGTGATAATTGAAATTTCTTTTCACTAATATTCCAGAAACTTTGTCTCCAGGTTGAGGTTTTTGCATTGCTAAAGCTCCCATAACCTTTACAGTCTTCTCTCCCCGAAAATATAATTCAACGGCTGTTGTATTCCTAGGATTATGTATTTCGATCGAAGTATTCGGATCATCTTCATATTCTCTCTTTAAAGCTGCTTTTAAACGATTCATTTCGTTTTGTTCCCCGTGTACCAGAACCTAAAAATCAAATGTTAAAGATATACAATGTGTGTTTATATATTTAAGAACTTTTTTAAAATATTTAAAATGACACTTACGACATGGGGTGGTTTCAATGCTCTCACAAATTCACTCGTTTGTTTATAATCTGTATGAGCAGAAAATGAAATATAATCGACAGACATTTTTAAAGGCAATTTTTGACCGCTTAGTGTCACTATTTCTTCTGGTTCTGATAAAATCTGTTTGGCTAGGGTACCCTCCACACAGTAACCTAAAATGGAAACAATAATTACTATTGGTTTAAAAAATAGAATTAATTAAACATTACAATTAATCTTACCTGCAATGATGACGCCATTTTTCGAATCGGTACACCAAAGTTCAAATAACTCTCTTGATAATCCACTTTGCATCATTCCAGGAGATGCCATAACTACGCATGGACCTATGTCGTCAAAATGGTCGATTCCCTGAAAGATAAAAATAAATTACAATTAATTAATCCATTACATAACAAATAAATTACTTTAAGTTTTTTAAATTACCTTTAAATTGTGAATGTGTCTGAATATAAACGGATTGTTGATTGCAATTTGCCTTCTTATTTTATCATTCATTGCATTCACATATGTTTGATATACCGCCATACATTTTTTCGCTAAAGAAGAAGCATAATAAATGGGTATATCATGAAGTTCAGGGTGCTGACTCCAATAATCATCTGTAAAAAAATACATTTTAAAATTGTAATTTCGATTTAATTTAATAACACATTTCATTTTATATAAAATTCAAAAAAAAAAAACAATTAAACAATTAATTTTACCTAATATTAACAAAAGTTCTTGAGCTCTTCCTAGTGCAAACACGGGAATAAGACATCTACCACCTCTATTTATGATTGTATGAATTAAATTTGTAAACCTTGTTTCTCTCTCTTCTCTTTTTTCATGAATATGAGTACCATATGTAGATTCCTTAAAAGTATTTAGAACAATTTTTAATATAATCAGTAAAATTTTTTCTTTTTTTTTAAAAATATACACTTACAGTTATCAATACATCAGGTTTTATGCTAGGAATTTCTGCAGCCATTAAATGCCTATCTTCTTGTCTTGAAAAATCTCCCGTATACAAAACCCTAACCCCAGCAATTTCTATCATAAACATAGCAGCGCCTAATACATGTCCAGCATGATAGGCCCAAAATTTAATTCCAAATATTTCTTTTTCCTCATGAAAATTTATCGTTTCAATTTTTTCCATCGATTCTTCTAAATCATGATCGGTGTACAGCATTTGCTCCGTCGAGATGTTGCTAACTTTAATATAATCGGATAGCAACCATCTATAAATAGCTTTTGTTGCATGGGTCATGAAACATCTACCTTTAAACTTAGTTTTTAACAGAAACCATGGAAGTGCACCAGAATGATCCAAGTGAAAACTAAAAAAAAAAAAATGTTTAATAAAAATTATAACAAAAGTGATACATTTGAAAGCAATTATAAAAAAATAATCTAAACTAACTGTGTAACTAAAAGTAAATCTATTTCGTCAGCTTCAATTAAATCTACAAATGGAAGAGCATCTAATCCTGACAATCCAGGATGAATACCACAATCAAGCTAAAATAAAATGAAAAAAAAATTCATTTTGTAATTAATATTTCACATTTCTTTAAACACTTGTTTCAAGTTTGACAATAAGTACAGTAAATTTTTACCATCACATTTTTTCCTTTAAATTCTAGCATTATACATGATCTCCCAACTTCTTGTCCAGCTCCTCTGTAAAATGTATCAAATAATTGTTTTAAATAAAAGCAGTAAAAAAAAGTCATGAGAAAGTACACCAGATATTCGTAAATAATATCCACATAATATGGGTATTATTATGCCCAAGTATAAAAAATTACTCACAATGGTCTGATTCTCAAAAGATCATTTTCTTCCGAAGGAGCTTGAGGCTCCGTTTTTTTACCAGATGAAAGCATATTAATACAATTTTAACAAACAATTATATCATTTTGAATCACCGTTGCGTTTGAAATTTGAAAAGTACAACATATAAAGCCGGTGTACGCACACCGTTTGTTTATTCTATGACAAAATTATTCGTCACAGAGAATTAAAAACGTTTATAATACTTTAAATAAGGAGTGATAATTAAGACATAATGTCTTTTGACTCGATTTTTAAAAATATTTGTCGAGAGATAGATAATGTAGATAGTGTATTAGTAAAAATTAAAAATGCACAAAACGAATTGGATAGATTTACAATAGCCTACGATACATCCAAAAATTTTATTTCCAATTTAGGATTTCATAACTGCGGCAAAAGTAGAACAAAGTCTGAGACTTTTAGAAAGGAAGGAAACCAATTTTTTAAAAAATGTTTATATTGGGAAGCATTAGAATATTATAATAAGAGCATAGCTTTCGCCCCTGTAAATTCTGAAGAATTAAGCACTGCATACGGCAATAGAGCATCGTGTTTAAGCAGACTTGAATTTTTTAAAGAAGCAGTACTTGATTTGAACAAAGCTCTTAGTCTCTCTCTTTCTACAAATTATAAAAATAAACTATTGGTGAGAAAAGAACAATATAGTTTAAACGAAAATGTTAATAATGATATTAAAAATTTCCCATTTGACTCCGGAGAGATTCCTCCGTTAGATCGAGAAAAAAGTTCATTTTTCGACAGCACTTCTAATGTGGTAGAACTTTCCGAAGACATTTATTCAAATAGAAAACTTATTGCTAATGATGATATTAATGTCGGAGAAGTTTTAATTGTGGAAAAACCATATTCCAGTATTGTTATACCCAAACATTTTTATACTCATTGTTCTAATTGTTTTAGGCGAAGCCTTAATCTAATTCCTTGCAGCAATTGCTGTACGGGAATGTTTTGCCGTGAAGAATGTTTGGATATAGCAAATCATGTTATAGAATGCTCTTATTTAGGTATTTTAAGCGAATTAAATGCTGATAGGAAGGAAATGTTGGCCTTAAAAATTTTAATAGATGCCTCTCGCCAAGGAACAGAATTAGAAAAATTGTGTACTACTACAATTAATCATTTAAATAATGAGGAAAATAATTGTCAATTTTACAAATCACTGGATTTTAAAAATATATTAAATTTAGTTACGAATTCTGAAAAGAGAAATGCAGCTGATTTATTTTACAGATCAATAGTATCAGTAATATTAATTTCAATTCTTGAAAACAATACAAATTTTTTCAATTATATTTCAGAAAATAATAATGATAAAATAAAAATATTTTGTGGCGGATTAATACTACTTTTTATGCAAAGTTTGCCCTGTAATGCGCATGAAATATCAGAATATTATTGTTCAAATTTATTGGAAATAGGAGCTGGTGCTTATGCTACATTAAGTTTAATCAATCATTCATGTGATCCTAATGTAGTGAGACATTCTTGCAGAAATACAGTAATTCTAAGAGCTATAAAACCAATCAAGAAAGGAGAAGAAGTAATTAAGCATTTTTTGTAATTTACAATTTGAGACTATTTTCGGGTTCTATCAAATCATTCAAAAAAGAATGTTATCGTTTTAGCTGTTTGACAATTATGGCTACCATTATGCAACACATGAACTTCAAGAAAGGCAGAAAGCTTTATTAAAACAGTACTATTTCACTTGTCAATGCAAAGCTTGTATTTATGATTGGCCATTGTTTAATATACTTCGTGACCTTCTAGTAAAATTTACTTCTTCATTAAATGTAGAAAAATATGAACAACTTACCAAAATATTTGAAGTAATCATTTGTAATGAAATGCATCCAAATAAAAAAAAAAGAAAAAAATTATTTAACAATTTGTTTTGTTTTTCATTTTAGAAAGATTTCCAAGAGGCACTTAAAGGAAATCATAGTAAAGCTCTTATATTAAGAAGCATGTCCTATCTGCAATGCATAGATGAATTAGTACAACAACCTTCGATAAATTATAATAAATGCCAAGAACTTATTAAACATTGCTTAAATTTTTATTCTAATCATTTTCAAAATCTCAACGAAACATAAATTTGTTTTATTAAAGTTAGAAATGTTTAGATTTATTTATTTATTTTATTAAATTATTTAATATATATTAAAATTCATTCATTATTTGCCACCTTGTTTCTATAAGATTTTCTTAAGATTTTTATTTTATATAATCATGAGAATTATCAGAATTTTATAAATATTTATTATCATTTTTATTTAAATTTAAGGGTGAGTATTTAATATTTGAACTTGAGAAAATAATAATAATAATAATAATTGAAAGCTTAATTTCATATGCCAATTATTTTCCAATTTTCATTTATACTAATTGAGAAAAATAGTAAAAGAAAAGAAAAAAAATGTAATTTGATATTACTTTGAGTAAAATTTTTTATAAATTTGCACTAAATTTAAATTTCTATAATTAATTTTAAAAAAAAAAATTAATTCGTTATTATACAACTAACGACTCCTACCGGTGAAAAAATAAACTAAAAAAGGCAACGAAATATTCAAAAGTGAAGAGAAAAAAAAAAGAACTTCTAGAAACGGATTCAGTTTAAAACAAGTGTTTGTGACGTTGAGTGAAGTGACGGTTAAATCAAAATGGTTCATTTCGACACGTTTTTTAAAATGTTATTTTTAATAAATATATTGTGATTTCGATTTTTTTATTCTTTTTTTTTGTTTTTTTTTTAAAATGAAGAATAATTTATTAGATTTAAAATCTATCAATGTAAGTTTTTTTTTTTTTAACTACTACTACGATTATTTCATTTTAAACATGGTTTCCATTTGACGTTTCTTACATTCGTTATGTAAAACTGAATCCCCACACAATTTTATTAATTATTTCACTTAATTACAATTATTTACATTATTTATTTTATTTTATACAATCCCATATTAAATCTTATTTAATTATCACGATAAATCTCATTTACAACCCCCTCCCTCTTATCCTCCTCCCAAAAGGTAAAAAAAAAAAAACGTTAATTAGTGTTCCATTTTAATTTTTTTCCTTTTAGTTTTTTCCTTTTTTTTTTTTTTACCTAAAATTTGATTTTTCTAAAATTCAAAAAATTATTTCAAGGTGTAAATAAAATAAGTTAAAAAAAAAAAAACAAGTTATTATGATGAGAACCTCTCTCTACAAAAAAATATTAAATTATTTGATACACTTACATATATTTTCATAACATCTGCTCATCTATTATTATCATTATTATTATTGTTGTTCCTGTTCAATTTTAAAATGTAATTCAAACATCATCATCATCATCATCATCATCATCTGTTACATTTTATTTATTTATTTATTTAATAAAATGTATTATCATTATTTAAAATTTTCCTTTTAAAAGAAAAACGTTTTGTTTCTTTGAAACCCAAAATACAAACTTTTTTTTTACAAGGTGTTATTATTATTATTATTTTCCTATTGTAATGCAGTATATTATTTCCATGATGATAATAATAATAATAATAGCTTTCACTGGAATGAAAACTGAAATGTTTTTTAATAACTTTCCACTTCCTGTTTCGATGATTTAATTGATGTTATTAATTAATAAAATTTATTGTTATCAAATTGATTTCAACGTTAGTTTGTTATTAATAATAATAATAATAATGATAATGATAATGATAATATATGAAGGAGATTTTTAAATAATACGATTATGTGTTAAAGTAATAGTAAAGGTTTGGAAGGTTACACAATATGTTAGAATTTAAAAAAAAAAATGTTTTGTACACACGTACCTTAAAACCTTTCCATGATTTTAACATCGTGTGGATGGTGAACCTTAAAAGGATGATGATAAACATTTTTATCCAGTTTGCCTGTGCTGGTGGTGGTGGTGGTGGTGTCCTTCCATGAAACGAACCTAAAAAAAAAAAAAATTAAAATAAGTTACCATTTTGTTTTTGTCGATGTACCTTAAAAAAAAAAAAAAGGTCGAAAGGACATAATCGTATTCAAACATGTCAACCTATGTTAAATAATTAATTATAATAATTGATAGGAATTAATTTAATCGAATAAAAAAAAAACGAGGTACCTTATTAAAAAGAAGAAGAAGAAGAAGAAGACATTTTTAAAAAAATCTCATGGGATGTTGTTTAACACGAACACAAACACAAAAAGACACCGAACCTAACAAAGTTATAATAATAATAATAATAATAATAATGATTTTTTACGTGTTAAAATTTCAGGTAAATTTTAATTTCGATTTGTTTAATACCGTCGTGATCGGTGATAAACAAGAAGAAGAAGAAGAAGAACAACAGCAACAACAGCAATTTATAGGTAAGAATGCCTAAAATATTGTTATCACCGATTCGTGTTATCACCAACATTATTTTTCCAGATTCAACCACCGGAAACATTATCGACATACTCGATGAAATTATATGTTACGCTTATGAGAATGCAGAAGAAGAAGAAGAAGAAGAAATTTTCGATTATGGTAACGATGATGATGATGATGATGATGATGATGATGATGATGGGAAAAAATGGCTACGTGAAATACTGAACGAAATTTCGATGTTAAAAAAAAACGAATCGAATTATTTTTTCCAAACCGGATACGAGGATTGCATGAACGAAACAATAAGATATTTAATTCAAGATGAAAATATTTCACCGGAACATCCGGTAATAAAAAATTTAAAAAATCATTTGGAAAAATCAAAATTGTCATTTTTACAAGAGTGAAAATGGCGGCGGTCAAGCAAAAAAAAAAAAAAAAATTTAATTTTTTGAATACTCGTATTTAAATATTTTTATAAATATGTATTTATGTAAATAAATAAATAAATAAATAAATGTTGTGCGAGGGGGGGGGGAAAAAAAAAATTTTCGGGAGCAAATGGGTCCAATGGTTGTGATTTCCCAACCCTCCTCGCTCCGCCCCTCCCCCGCAAAACATCTGCTTATACGAATTTATATATTATATATGTAATTTTTTTTATCATTATTATTATTATTATTATTATTATTAAAAATCAAATATATATATATTTATGTACAGGTAGTTTTTTTTTTTTTTTTGTTAACTTCCGGTAAAAATTAAAAAATTTTAAATATATTTTTTTTTATAATAAAAATAAAAACAGATGTATTGAAAATGTGTTTTTTTTTAATACAAATTTATTTGATTTAAAATTGGGCCTTTATATTAAATTGTTTTCATTTATTTCCGGTTCCTCGTGCTCACACACATGCACACACGCACACGCACACGCACACACACACACACACATTTTTATCACCTGCTTTTTCTTAATAAAAACATTTTTTTTTTTTATGTATTCATCTCAATAATTTTTTTTTCTATACGTTTTAATGTGACATTTTTTATTTTATCATTATTATTATTATTTGTTTAAACAAATAATTTATTTAAAATAATAATAATAATAATAATAATAATACGAAAAATAAAATAATGATTATTTGTTTATAAAAACAAGTTTTTTTATTTAAATTTAAACGGTTGACTAATTGTTTTAAAAAACTTGACTGATTTTTTTTTTTATATATTGAACCTTTGTACCTGATAATTAGGATTAACATTTTATACCTTGACAAAGTCTTGTTTTGTCTTTTAATTTTTTATTTACCCTAATTTTAAAAAAAAATTTTCATTCATTTTCATCGGGGAGAAATTTTTAGAGGAAACACGTCAATGCCCTTAATAAAAACAATCTCATTTTTTTTTTGCTTCGTTCTCCCCCAACCTGAATCATTTTTTTTTCAATTTCAACAACAACAACAACAACAACAAACAACCATCACGCATATGTTCAATAAAATCTTGGCTAAAATAAGTCTGCTTGCTACTGCTACCACCACCACCACCATCATGAGACATCTGTCGATGTATTGCAGCTGTCTATGCTGCTACCACCCTTTTTATTAAAAGCGACAAATGTAACAGAGTAAGTATTGGTGGTGGTGGTGGTGGTAGTGGTGGTAATACTTGTGCTTAAAACAAAAAAAAAACCTACGTGGGTACATTTGCCACTCGGGAGTAAAAAGCTCAATGATAACACATACACAATCTGTGATAAGGAAAGATGAGGGGCATCTGTTTTCTTTTCAGATTTTTCTTCTCCAATTGTTGCAATAATTATAAATGAATGAGGGGTTAACAACCAATGAGATGCTGTAAAGAGGGGGGAGGGAGAGGGGAAATTTTTAACGCGTGCTGTTTCAATTGTTTTTATCCCTTTTAACAAGAGTTTTAAATAAAAAAAAACTTTTACCATCAGCTGTCGTTTAGTGTCTAACAACAAACTTTAGTCTTTGGACTACATTGATTTAGGTTAGTTAATATTTTTTTGTTTGTTACTGTTTGGTTGTTGTATTTATTGGAAAAAAAAAAAGGTAAAAGAATTTTTTTCTCTCTCTCTATTCTTTTTTTTTTTTTTTTTTTAATTTAATTGAGATATCTTCAAAAAACCATCTTTATATTAGCATAAAGGGTATCAGGTATCCAAACCTATCATTTATCTTTTTTTTTTTTTAAAATTAAACGTACACTATGATTAAATCCAGGTTTTTTTTTTTTTTTAATAATTAATTATCATTTTGTTTTGTTTGTTTTGTTTGTTTTTCAATTTAATTTCCGCCTACATATAAAAACACCTTCGGCCATATAAAAAACCAACAACAACAACAACATAAAATACATTCGAGTGTCGAATTTTTATTAAACATTTTATTAATTTTTTTAGTAATAATAATAATAATAATAATAATTTTATTTAAATAAAATTGTCTGTAGTTGTAAAACATAAAAAAAATTTGTTTGATTTAATATTAAAAATTTACTAACCGGGAGAGGAGAAATTCATACAACAGCTGGAAATTTCTTTTTTTTTTTTTTTTAACATTACACCACAGCAGCAAACATTTTTTTTTTTTAAATCCGGTCCCCCATGTTTTAAAAAAAAAACATTTTTTTTTTTTTAAACATGGGGGTTCATTCATTAAACATAAAAA